AGCCCAGCTCCCTCAGCCTTTCCTCACAGGGGAGATGCTCCAGTCCCCCCATCATCCTTGTTGCCCTCCTCTGGACTCTCTCCAGGAGTTCCTCATCTTTCTTGAACTGGGGAGCCCAGAACTGGACCCAGTGCTCCAGGTGGGGTCTCACCAGGGCATTCGTGGTGCTGCTGGGCTGGGAATCAGCATCCTCTGGCCAAGGAGCCCCCAGCTGGGACCGGGTGCTGCTGGGGGGGATCGGGTTCTGCTTTTGGAGCCGTGGTGGGCATGGGAAGGAGCAGGGAGCGTGATGGAGGGAGATCAAGGGCGCTCTCTGAACAGCCACGGCCCCGCGAAGGAACGGTGGGGAGCTGCAGGAGAGGGGTGTGCAGCGCTGCTGGGGTTTAGCCTTTCTCCACTGGGGGGACGACACCAAAGCTCTGGTTGCCTTTTGCTCATTAAAATGAGCCAAAGCACTGGGAGAGCCCTCGGAGGCTTCCAGTTCAGCCCGCTGGCCTCAAAATTGTGGTGGTTTGACCTTGGCTGGACACTAGGGACCCCCCAAAGCTGCTCCATCGCTCCCCTCTTTAACCAGACAGAGGAGAGAAAAGTAAATCAAAGGGCTGGTGGGTCGGGATAAGGACAGGGAGGGATCATTCCCCAGTTACCATCACCAGCAAAACAGATTCAGCTTGATAAAATTAATTTAATTTATTATCAATCAAAATCAGAGAAGGAGAGGAGAAAAGCTGCTAAATCTTAAAACATCTTCCCCACACCCCTCCCTTCCTCCCGGGCTCAACTTCACTCCCAATTTTCTCTACCTACTCCCCCCCAGCAGCGCAGGGGGACGGGGATGGGGGTTGGGGTCTGTCCATCACATGTCGTCTCTGCCACTTCTTCCTCCTCAGGAGAGGACCCTTCCCCTGCTCCAGCGTGGGGTCCCTCTCATGGGAGACAGTTCCTTCTCCAACTTGAGTCCTTCTCCAACCTCTCCAGCGTGAGTCCTCCCCACGGGCTGCAGTTCTTCACCCACTGCTCCAGCGTGGGTCCATAATTTCCACAGGGTGCGGTCCCTCAGGAGCAGATGGCTCCAGCGTTGGGTTCCCTTCAGGGTCACAAGTTCTGCCAGCAAACCTGCTTCAGCGTGGACTCCTCCCCCACGGGTCCGCAAAGTCTTGCCAGGAACCTGATCTGGCGTGGGCTTCCCACGGGGTCACAGCCTCCTCCCTTCAGGCATCCACCCGCTCCGGCGTGGGGTCCTCCACGGGCTACAGGTGGGGATCTGCTCCCCCATGGACCTCCCTGGGCTGCAGGTGGAGATCTGCTCCCCCATGGACCTCCCTGGGCTGCAGGTGGAGATCTGCTCCCCCATGGACCTCCCTGGGCTGCGGGGGCA